TCTCTCTGTCTCTCTCTCTCTCTCTCTCCTGTCTCTGTCTCAGATAATTTCTTGGGGACTCTGCCTTGGGGCTCCCGCTCTCCAGTGTGTGGGAAACCTGACCTTCATCATCTGTTTTTTATATTTTGGAAACGTCAGCTCCACTTCCTACCTGGGGGAGGTGGGGGAGGAGGAGCAGACTGTCTGGCTCCACCCCTTCCCCCCTCTTTTCAGAATCAGTCCCCTGCCCCAGAGCCTTGCCCTGGGGAGAACAGAGCTGAGGCTGTCCCTGCTATCAGCTGCTGTGGCTTCGGGAGACTGAGCCCAGGCCCTGATTCATGGTCTCCCTGCTGCTCACTGTGGGGTGGGGGAGGTGGTGGGGCCTCTTCTGACTGCCCACTGGTTTGCTGATTTGGGAAAAAGTGAAAATTCCAGGCACAGAGAGAGCCCAGGGGGGCAAGACATTTCACCAGTAGGAACCAGGATGGCAAACGGTTAAAGTCATTTCTGCCTCCAGGCAGAGTTACAGCCAACCAAGTTGTCTAATATGTTGTCACAGATGTTTACTTGCTTAATATTATTATTAATACTAGTAACAGATTACATATACTGAAGGCTTATCCTATGTCAGGCACTTTATGTTTTTGCATTTCATCCACTCAACAACTATGTGATGGGCACTATTATCATCCCCCATTTTCCTAATGAGAAAACTAAGACAGAGAGGTTAACTAATTTGCCCAAGGTAACTCAGCTAATGAGATTGAATCTCTGATTCCAAGTCCCAAGCTGTTTCCTCTACATCAAGTTTTCCAAGACCTGAGAAACGTATATTCTATGTTTCCTTCTAAAGGAAATAAATCCACAGAACTCTGAGAATATACCCTCAAGACTGCAGAAGCATTGTCTCTAATCACTGCTTTCTGGGAGACCTTGAAGAACCGGCTAGCAAAGATTAAGTGGAAGGGCCAGAAGAGGGCAATTCAGGAAGGAGGAACTTGGAGAGGGGGCACTGATGGGAAAAATGTGGATGATGGCTGCAGGTCAGGGCAGCGTGCAGGAACCAGGCTGGAGCGTCTGACTTTGTTCAAGGAATGGCAAGGGGAGGACAGGGATAAGTGGAGGGCTAGGTGCAGCTCACAGAGGCCTGAAGGCCAGTTCAGTTTATCCTCCAGATTTCTGAGTAGGAGAGCAATACTCCAAAAGAGATGTTTGAGACCTGGGCTGGAGGGAGAAGGGTAGACAATAAAGAAGGTTGCTGGGAGGTTGGCATACCGATCCAGGCAGGCTAGGATGATCTGACAGGCTAGGATGATTCTGCAACAAGAAGGTATTTAAAAGACACTTCCAAGGAAATTTAGCATTTTGGAGTATGGGCCATCTGCCCCCTTCTCAGGATTGGAATGCAAGTTCACGTTTTGGGTGGGGTGGGGTATGGTAGAAAGAGGGAGAACAAGAAAACAGTACTTTCGAAGCACGAAGCCTTCTCACACTAGCACTGACACTCAGATCTGAGGGCTGCTGGGAGCCCAGGCCAAGAGTGGAGGGTGGACAGGGGTCTGCAGGCTCTAGTATGAAGATGGCACTGAGGGCTCTGAGATGGACACTGGCCTGCAGACTCTGGCCTGTGAGGCCCAGGCCATGGGCCCTGCCTGGTCTTCGGAGGGGTGGGCAGACTACAGATCAGGGGCCTGCAACAGCAGCATTTCACATCTTTAAATTCTTTGAAATGATTCCTCTCCCTGGGTGGCAACAAAAAAATAAAGCAAACAAGCAAAATTTGGTTAAGAACTCAAGAACTGCCAACTCAGAAACTCTAATCTGTTCAAAAAGTTCAATCCCTTTCTTTCAGAAGCCAAAAGCCTATTTCCATCTCAGATTGTATATGTCTGCGTGTCTGAGAACTGCTGAGGGAGACAGAGTGAGTGTGAGAGGGAGACAGTTGAAATGTCTTTGTGCCTGTGGGTGAGGCTGCTGCTCCGTGGGCTCATGTATATGCATTGTACGTACATTTGTGCCTGTTTCTCAGGCCTCTGTGTGCCTCAGACTTTCAAACCATAACAGAAACATTGAAGCTTGGCAAAGGTAGCACAAGAATAATTATCTAATTTCAGAACGTATTATTATAATACCTACATGATGTGTAACAAACTTAACAATGTTCACGTTATATTCACCCATTCTGAGATGTAGACCCACAATGCCAAGTCCTGCCCTCAGAGGCTTCTCCAAGACATGAGAGCACAGCAGGACGGAAAGAAAGCTCTTCATGAAGTATTTCCCCTGCAAGGCTTCCTCATGGATTGAGATGTTTGGCTGGGTAAATATCTATGGGGAAATTGCTGGAAGGGAAACAGAGCATCTTGGGATTGCAACTGCTCCTCCCAGAATCCCCATTCCTTCCTAGTGAAGGAGACCCCGAACTGGCAAGGAAATGGCAGCCATATTGGGGTCACAGAGGCAGACAGTCTTTCCCTGACTCAGCTGTGGGCCAAGGGGCCTTGTGATCCACCCAGCTCCCCCTTTTCCCCAGGGGGCTAAATTGGATGGAGGCTGAGTGTGAGGGGAATGTTTGCTGTTTGCTGCTGTTCCCTGTTGACTTTAGCCAGTAGCTCTGTTTACAAACCCAGGTTGGTTTTCCCAGCACAGTTAATTAGACCAAAGACATCTGGCGTGAGGGCTGCGGAGGGCATCTGCTCAGAGCCTTACCCCCACACCCTGCAGCCATGGGCCAGGGCACAGCAGAACAGCTACACAGGAGTTCCTGCAGACCGACTCCACCAAACCCAAGGTTCTCGGCAGATCATGGCTTCCTTCACCTGCCTTTCCTCTGATTGCCTATTTAGACTGAGCTCCAACTCTCCGAATCTTAGGGGACCAAGGAGTCGGGGCTGGAAGACCTACCTCTGTGGGATCATAAGCTGGAGATCAAGGACTCAGCTCTTTCCTCTGCCCTTCCATGTCCATAAGAAGCAGTCAGAAATTCCTGATCCCTTTCTCATCACAAAGACCCTGCATTCTGTAGGAACACCAGACTTCCTCAGGGAAAATCTTCCCTACCTGGACACCCCCTCAGAAAGGAGGCTCTGGACCCTTCTCCTCCTCCCTGACCCCTCCCTAGCCAACCCCTAACACTGTGGGAAAGAGAAGAGATTAACCTGCCCCAGAGGGAGGCAGGAAGGTGCCCAGGAAGGCGAGGTGGCCAGTTTCAGGGCGGTGGGGAAGTGGAGAGCTGCGAGGGGGAGGGGCAGCGGCTTATCTCTCCCAGGAGGGGGGAGCTCACTCCAAACAGCTAATGCACTGGCGTGTGAAAGCCCCTCAATTAGCACTAATGATGCAATCAGGGAGGGAGGAGGAGGGACCAGAGTTCTGGTGGAGTCAGCACCAACTTACACACTCCCGTCCTCGGACAAAGTGGCCCCTTCATACACAGCGACGCACACACTCCACAGACAGCATCCGTGGGCACAAATGCACTCTTTGCACAAACTACTAGCATCCATATGGTTTGTGATCCGCTGTTGACCCCATCAGACCCCGGGGATCCCAGAGGCAGGGGGTGCACCCCCAGTTAGATTCGGGGCTTCAGGGACAAGGCAAATCAGAAATCAGAAAGCCTTGGTAGAGAGAGTTGAACAGGGAATCTCCGAAAAACCTCACGATCGTTCCTCTCAGCCCAGACTTCTCGTCCCACACGCGCTCGCAGGTGCCAGCCCGGCTGCGCCCGCCTCCCCACACCGCAACCTAGAATCCGGGGCTGGCCGAGGAGCCGCCACCCCCTGCCCCATGCGCGAGAGGCGGGACCCACGCGCCTTCCCTGCTCCCGGCACGCCGCGAGGGCCCGGGGTCCAGGGAGGGAGCTCTGGGACAACACCGACCCGCGCGCCCGGACGCCGCCGTTGTCCCCTCCGGAGCCCGTCACCCGCCGGCC